AGAAAACGGATGGAGAAAGTAAAGCAGGGCACTGAAGTCAACCGCAATACTGAGGACCGTACCCTGTACACCTGTAGGACAGTACCAATAGGGCATGTCAGAAGGGTACCCTACAAACCTTCCTGACATCTCAGAACCCAAGCAGTGTTGTAGGCGCCGACATTTTCCCTACAGTATTGTGGGCGTCATCAACTCCCATACCAGACAAAAACAGTAAGGCTACCTCCACACGCCTCTGGGCATCAACAGTGTTGTGGGCGTCGGCATTTACCGTACCAGACGAACATGGTAAAATCCTCTGCATGCCTCTCGGCATCAAGAGTATGGCGGGCATCGACGTCTGCCATACAAGAAGAAGAAGACGCAACCTCCCACATGCATCTGACATTAACAGTGTTATGGACGCCTACAATCATCTTGTACCCTACAGCGTGGGCAATAAGACTTAGCATACGTATACTCCCTCTCTCACTTGTAAGGCCATCCTCTTCATCTATAAAAGAGAATGCGCTCTCTCCCAATAGGTAGATCGATCAGTTCACTAACACACACAACAGCAGAACCAATAGGTTCAAACCTCGAGCACACGTTCGAACACTTAGCACATAGCGGAGCTCCCGTCGCTCTCGGCCTTTCAGACCAGAGTCCGATCGGACCTCTTATACCCCCATCTTTCTCTTTTCCGTTTGTAACCCCACAGCAAACTTCGAGCACCTGGGCTTAGGAATAAAGTCACCGACCGACTCAAACTGAACGTAGGGCACGTTGTCTGAACCAGTATAAACCCTGTGTCATTGAGTGCTAGGCCACCTCCGATCACAACATACAGCAAAACTATAAATATTTACGTGTTGGTCATTTTCTGCACCGACATGTAGCTTTGCATTTATTACTACAAAATTTATCTCGGCCTTGTTTAGTTCCTCCTCAAAAGTTTATACCCTATCACATCGAATATTTAAACACATGCATGGAGTATTACATATAGACTAAAAAATAACTAATTGCACAGATTGAGACTACTTTGCGAGACGAATCTTTTAAGCCTAATTAGTCCATGATTTGATAATAAAGTGCTACAGTAACACATGTGCTAATGATGGATTAATTATGCTTAATAAATTTGTCTCGCGGTTTATTGACGGATTCTGTAATTTGTTTTTTTATTAGTATCCAAATACCCCATACAACACCTCCATATAATACCTGATGTGATGACCCAGAACTTTACACACTGGAACTCTACGAGGCCTCAATACACAAGCAATGATGGACCCAGGGTCCCGTGACCCTCGACACCTGCCCAGGCAGTGGCGCCCACGCATGCTGGAGCTTTTCTTATAGCACCCTCTACGTAAGCTTCCAGACACACACTCTTACGTAACTAATGATACCCGCACGTTGCCACGGAGATTTTGTAGCATTGACATGAGCACGATAATAGAAATATTTCTTTGTTTCTTTGTGATTGTAGCTTGAAATACTGATAGAAAATAATGATCCATCTTCGGTACAGGCTAACAGAACACAGCGTTTTGAATGCCTATCAATCAAATACATATCTTGATAAAGAAAATACGCGTACATGGTATATACATATAACAAAAGATGAAGGCATCTAACTACTCACATGTAACCTATAAAAGCACTTATGCGGTTTCTTAGGTAAATGTCATGTCTTGGCCTCCAGAATACCACAATTGTTCTTTAAAATTTGTTAAAAAAGCATACATATAGACTGCGTAATTCGCAATAAAAAAGATAGATAACTGATATAGGGAATCAGTTGTGGGACCCATTCGAAGAAAACCACCGCACGTCATTATCAAATATGTTCCATCTCACATTAAAATAAAACTATCCCCCATATAAAATAAGAAAAAAAAATCGGCCACCACATTTACCTCGCGCCGCTTATTCGTCTTCCGCCTAGCACAGAACGGCCCGTTCCGCATCGGACCTCTGCTCAGATCCTCTGTTTTTCTCCCCCTTCCAGATCCAGATTCGTCCTTCGAGCTCAGGCCTCAGGCGGGACCGGGGCTCTACCGCCAGCAAGAGTGCGGGCGGGGCGAGCGAGCATCACGGGCAAAGCTCCGCAGGCATCATGCGGGCGAACGGGCGGGGCAAGGCAGCGACGCCGATCGGGGCGGAACCCAGCGGAACGTCCATCTTCGATGATCCTATGCATGAGCCTCGCGACGGCGGCCAAGGTAGAGCGCGGTGCGGTGCTGCCGAACGGGGCAGGCAGGGCATGGCCGAGCCGCCGAGGCGGAGCGAAGTTATTTAAAATCTGCAGTGATGATGGTTCATTTTCTTCGCATGCATTTGCGGTGGCGAGTTGTGGCAGATGAATGGATGGTGCGTTACGGTAGAGGAATCGGAATCGGCCGTGGAATAATTTCTGTTTCTGATCGGTTAGTGCGCAAGAAGGAAAGGCGGGTCCCAGCAGGGTAACGTGGCTTAAGGAGAAGTCAGAAAAATAAGCTAATGAAGTTCTCCTATTTAGTTATAAAAGATTTGCCCAAGCTCGATTTCACAAGCTGGGTCCACCACTGTGCGGAACGTTCACCCGGTGAAGCGTGTAGCGACACTTTGATGTGCATGAATGGAGCATTTGCTAGGTGGTGGCGCGGTTGATGCCCATGGACATTTGCTCGATTGATGCTATTTTGAAGCAACACCGGTTCATCCGGTGATGTTAAACGACTCACCAAGCCTTAGCCCAGTTGATTGCTCAGGTGTCAAGTCTGGTGCTTAACACAAACATGTAGTGCTCTTTGTTTCTCAACATGATTGTCTTATTTTTTTTTCTTCACATCTTTTGTCTAGGCTTTGACTATTCGATATGTTGAATCACTTGTGATAACATTTAAGGCCCTCAACATGTACAAAGTGTCTTTTGAAAAAAAAAAATGTGCAAGTGTCTTTTTCTCTTTGGGTACTTTTGTTGGGTCAAACAATCTATGGATATGATATTTTAATTAGCCACTTAGTTCTTCATATGAGGTTTTTCATACTTGGGTTCGCCTCTCTCTGACTTACAAAATAGACCTTAGATGATGCATAATCTAGGTCTATCGCTTTTGTATCCAGTAACTACTATCGCTTTTGTATCCATTAACTAACACATTACTAGCAAACTCTGACAATCCATTGGATGTTGTCAATTAAACACCAAATCATGCTAACCCTAAACTAAGGTTTTAGTTCTTACACATTTCTTCTCGGTCGATGAACCTCTTTCTCAAAATATTTGCCACATCTAAGGCTAAGAGAGTCTTGTCATATTTTTTTGAGTCATTACGCATCAGATCTAATGTAATGGAAGGGAATCTCCAAGCTTTGTGATGGTAACCAAACAATAGCCAAGGTTGATCAAACTCGTACAACCTTAGACATGGTAAGTTGTAGCTAGCGACCAAACACGGATGAGACTCACTTGTAGTACCGCAGAGTTCATTTAGGTCATTTGAAATGAGCCTGATTTGCAAATAGGCCTACGTTTGACCTAATTGCACTCAGCAATATTGCAGAGGAACTCTCTCCACACCAAATACATTCTATCTTTTGCAACTCTAACGATCATTCATAAAAACAAAGGTATATAGTGCATTCTCGTCAATCTCAACGTTCCCTTCCGAGCTGTTTTCATAATAGATCATAACCATATACAACATAAACTACGTGTTGTTGGAGATGTGTTTGTTCACACTTCCAAAAGATTTCTATTTTATCTACCAATGCCAATCGTTTTTTAGAGGAGATCATCAGGGATGAACTATCCCCACCTGAATTCCATTATCATGACGTTGATGGATCGATAGTGGTAGGTTACATGCGCCCATAGGTGACTATTTTAACAAAAACTAAAAAAAGATGGGGGTATTACATATTGAACAATGAGCACTGACTATTTGATATCCATCTAATTTCCGTGGGGAGTCGGTAGCTCCAGGCCTGACTCTCGCGCATGGCATATGGCCATCGATCTATACATGCTGGGAGTGTCATCGTGGGAGCCGTTGCGGTGTTTTCAGATTTGCCAACAACAAAGAAGAAGCAAGGTAAAGAAGACCAGCGTATGAAAGCTGTCAAAGAGAGAGAGAGAGATGAGGGAGCTGATTTGGTGGCCAGACGAGAGCAATCCAGAACGCCCTAGACATAGTGCAACCAAAGATGACGTAGTCTATGTCTTCAAAGGTATCCTTGCAGATCTTATAGGAGTATGATTAGTTTCAAAGTCAACTACTCATAAATGTAAATTCTTAGTGTAAAAAAATTCTCTCACGAATTATGCTACGAGTCTTTCATCTCACAGGTTACATAGACTTGACACACTTTTACAAATGTTTTAAAAATTATTGATAAACTATTCTAGAAAGGTTTGTGTATTTCTAGATGTTTTTGTATGTGTGGCGGCTTTATAAACTTTAAGGTCTAATGACTTATGTTTTTAGAGATGCTGGGCATTGTATGCATATAGCGTTTGTTTATATGAGACGAATATGCACGTGTGTCGTCTGTCTTTCTCTCTATACATATTATATCTATATATTTATATAAGTCTTATAATTTAAAAGTTATAGATCTATTTTTAAACTAGATCTAAAATTTTTCGTAAGAATTTTCGATCAAACACCCACTAAAATCAGACTCAAGATAGAACCGCCAGTCATTTCCTGCTGGCTGGGTCATGCTTGTCAAGCAATGAGGCGCAGCAAAACGCAAACCCGACGGGCAGAGGACAGAGGTTGGAAAAAAGTTAGCCGCCGGCAGCAGGTACCCTACCAGTCAGTGAGACATACGAGCGGCTATGGGTACCCGACGCCACGTCCCCGCAACTTCACACCGAACAGCAGAGGTAGGAGAGCAAAGAGAGAAGAAGAAGAAGAGGAAGAGCACTGCTAGGGGCAGTCGGCAGACGCGGCGCGCTCCCCTCCCAAGTCCCCCTCCCCGGCTGGTCTTGCTGGGAGTAAGGGGAACGAAGCCACCGGCGCGGCATGGAGCCCAAGCCGTCTTCGGCGGCGCATGGTGACGCGCCCGCGGTCGAGGCCCCCCGCCGCCGTGGCGGCGGCGGCAAGCGCAAGTCGGCCGGGTCCTCGTTCACGCCATCGAAGCGGCAGGCCAAGGAGCGGAACGCTTCCTTCCACGTGCCGCCGCATCTTCTGCACAGCGGGCCGCTCACCCGCGCCGCGCGCCAGTCGCCGCACAAGCTCGCGGGCACGCCGCCGGAGTCGGGGCCAGCGTCGTCGGAGGCCGCAACTGGGGACGGGGTGAGCGGCGGGCAGGCGGATGTTGATGCGATCCGGCCCGAGATGGAGGAGACGCCGGCCCCGGAGCTGCCGCTGGTGGACGAGATGTTTGAGGCCGTCCGATCCCGTGGCGCCGGCGTCCATGTGGTCCCTACCTTTGCTGGTGAGTCCTTTGCACCACGAAGACTGCTGTGATCTCTCGGTTGGGCCGTGAATTGGGGATGTTGGTGACTAGTTGAGGATGTTCTGAAGAGGCGTTCTGTAGATTAGTTCACTGGGAACCATCCCCTTTTAGCTTATTGTTGTGCAATTTGAACGTTGTTATCGGAGACCAGCTAAATTGGTGTGCATAGTTGCTTCATGATGTGTTGATTACTGGTGTTTTTGGTATATAGCTTTATTTAGTGGCATGCTGTTAATTTAAGTAGTTTACTGTCTGAACCTAGAATTTTATAACATGCTGTTAATTGAAGTATCTAGTTACTTTAACTGTTAATTTGTTATGTAGCTTCATGCTGTTAATTTAAATGGTAATAATTTGCTTTCGAGGTTTCTTGTACCAAGGGGGATTGATCCATGTTGCATTTTTCTCACCGTGCATGTAACCAAGCTCAATAGCTACAATACCTGTATCTATGTCCAGTTGTCCACTCTATGGCTTTACTGTATGCCCAGTCTATCACTCAGTGAAGACGAATACATGTTACTCCCTCCATCCCAAATAAGTTACTTTTATCTAACTAAAATTATAGAGAAAACAAAGATTTGGACAAATAGGTATAAATGAAAATATAGGTTTGTAATGATACTTACTTGGTATGATAAATGGATTTTGTTATATAAATTTGGTAACTGACTTGCAAGCTTACAATTTGGGATGGAGGGAGTACTTATCCACTTGGACAAAATCAAGGTTTTTGGACTGCAATAACTGTTGCAAGCTTCCAGCCATTTTGTTTGTGTCAAATTGTTTGATTTTGAGAAATTATTCAAAGTTCTGCTCTGCTGCCAGTATCTACTATGTGCCGTTTTAATGTGTTGTCTGATGGAAGCAATAAAACGGCTGGTTAGAGATTAAAGAAACAGTTAAATCAGTAGGCCAGTAAATCTGATAGTACCATGCTCTACCCATAGTAAGTCTGATAGTAAATTTCCCTGTCTGTTGTGTGATTACAGTAGCCCAGTAACTGCTTTGCAATGTGTTAATCACTGTATAACTCCTATTTTCTTCTAGTGCACAGCTTCTGACTATTCAAGGCATATTAGCAACCGTTTCTATAGGATTAATATCGGGCTCAATATCTCGTCTGTAATTTGTGGTTATTGTCTGCTCAAGGCATATTATGATCTTTTTTTTTGGGGTAGAATTGAAGAATTCAAATAACTCAGCAGACAGCATTCCAGTGATTCGTGCTGACTTTCAAGGTCCCACATTCAACTGTATTAGTCGTGAATCTTGTTTCTCTTCTCTACTCATTGCTTAAGGTAAACTGAGCCTCAGAATGAAAAATACAAATAATAACCCTTTCTTCCACAGGATGGTTTTCATGGAAAGAAATCCACCCGGTTGAGAAGCAGACCTTGCCTTCTTTTTTTAATGGAAAATCTGAGAAGCGGACACCTGAGGTATATTTGGCGATTAGAAATTCGATCATGATGAAATTTCATGCCAATCCTCAATTGCAGCTGGAGTCCAAAGATCTGGCTGAGTTGTCAATCGGGGAGACCGATGCACGGCAGGAAGTCTTGGAATTCTTGGATCACTGGGGCTTGATAAATTTCCACCCTTTCCCACCAGCTGGACATGAGGAGAGTAAGCCAGAGGAGAGCCAAGACAATTCTAATGATGAGAAAGCTTCTTTGATCGAGCAGCTGTTTACATTTGAATCAGTTCAATCATATATGATGCCTTTACCAAAGAAAGGAGATGTGGGAGCTCCACCCCTCTGCCTAGCTTGTTTCCTGAACCTGTACTCATTGAAGATGTGGTTGCAGCAGCTGAGCCTTCTGTTGAGTACCACTGCAACTCCTGTTCAGTTGATTGCTCACAGAAGCGGTATCATTGTCGGACCCAGGTTTGGATTTTTTTTTTTGATTCAGTGCTGTAGTCCCTTCTGAAATTTTCTTGTATGTTTCATCAGCTTGTGTATACTGTAGCATTATATATCTGCACTTTGGATTCAGTATAAGTGTTGCAGGTTACAGTCTGTGGAGATACACACTGTATTATTTGTAGGCAGACTGAATTCTTGTATACATATATTTTTTTCAGTGTTGTTTTCTCCTCCTTTTCCCAAATTGACTGGGCACAGTCTATACTGCATAAAGAACAACTATTACAGCATTGGGTATGGAATTTGGGTGCAAGTAACCTGCCATCTTATGAATTCCGAGATCTATAAACATCAATTTGATGTGACTTTATCTTTCCGAAATACTTCTCTCTGGCCTGTACTGGTTACCTCATCTTTGTGATGTCAACTTTTTCTTGTTACTGCCATTGTTTAAGAAACAGGAAGAGTTGTGTTTTGAATCTATCGATTGGTAATATTGTTTTTTTCTTTCATTTACACAGGCAGATTTTGACCTCTGTTGTGATTGCTATAATGAAGGGAAGTTCGATCCAGGCATGGCCAAAACCGATTTCATCCTCATGGATTCTGCAGAAGTTTCAGGTGCTAGTGGTACTAGTTGGACTGATGAGGAGACATTACTTCTTTTAGAAGGTTTGGAAATTTTTGGTGGAAAATGGGCTGAGATTGCTGAACATGTTGCTACTAAGACAAAAGCACAATGCATGTTGCACTTTCTTCAAATGCAAATTGAAGACCGCTTCCATGATGGCAAAGATATTAATCAAAACATCCCAGTAAGTACAGAGCAAGCCACAACGGAGAAAGTAATTGCTGAAACATCTGAAAAAATGGAAGTTGAAGATAAAGTGGAAGGAAGAGATACTGCGGATGAGAAGGCCTCAGAGAAAACAGAGGGAAACTGTGAAGAAACAAAAACTGAAGATGCAAGTATTGTTGTAAATAAAGATACTCAGAATTCAGAAGGCAAAGATTCAGGTGCATCTCCAAGCACTGAAGAGCCAAAGCAATCTTCTGATGAGCAACCTATAGCAAAGGAAAATTCTGCAGATGTAGATACTTCTGGTGAAAAACTATCAAATGTTGCTATTGATATCCTAAAATCTGCATTTGAGGCTGCTGGTCACAGCCCAGAATATGAAGGTTCATTTGCTGATGCAGGAAATCCAGTTATGGCACTAGTAAGTACCATACTGATTGTTATTTTTAGTTATTCATACAATATGTACTGCCCAAGGGCCTAAGATATGTCTATGCAGGCAGCGTATTTAGCTGGTCTTGTGGAAGATGATAGCACTACCATTTCGTTCCGTAGTTCACTAAAAGCTATATCCGAGGTGTCTCCTTCACTCCAATTAGCAAGTAGGCACTGTTTTATTCTTGAGGACCCACCAAATGAACTCAAAGACATTAGTGCTAGTGTAAGGTAAGCAATGCTTACACCTATTTTGCATAGAAGTGCTCACACGTTTTTTGTGATGATCTAAATGAAATGTGCTCTTTGCAGTAAGAAAAATACAGATGGTGATCAAACAAAAGATGAGGATATGATTCAAAATTCAATAGATACTGAGAAAAAAGAGATCAATGAGAAAGAAGATAAGTCTTTATCTGTGGAAAAGAAAAACAATTCATCCACATCACAAAATGACCACCAAGAAACAGACATTAAGAGCGTCTCACATGATGATTGCTCCTTAGTGGAGCCGAAAACCAATAATGCTAAGGAGTCAGGTGATTCAACTGCTATTGGGGATAAGAGTGCAACCGACACTACAAAAGGTTTAATAAGTTCCATGAAAGACTCAGTTTCCTGTAGATAATGCGAGTGAATGTGGTTTTATTAGCTTCTCCAGACGTTGATACAGGTAATACTAAACAAGTGAATGACTTACCAAGTGTTGAGGTGGAGGCTCCTGATGATTCATCTTTAAAAGGCAAGAATGAGCTCAATAAGACTGAAGATGCAGTGGCGACACCAGCTACCGTACAGGAACAGAAACACAGCCAAACATTGGAAAATGGCGATAAGGAAGGTACTTCATCTGTTTTTTTTTCTCTCTCATAAAACTCTGTGTGAAACCAGTAAAGGATAACCACACATTTTCACTCGGTTTCAATTAGAGCTTTATGTTTGCTGCCTTTTCTATAGCTCTTGGCTTTTATTGAAAGGACGGAGTTATTATTTACATACCTGGAGGTCACTATTTGCCTACTCAATTACATTTACAGCTGTGAGTGATTCACAAGTTAGGCATATTGCTGACATTGCTGGCTAGGATTCCTTACTTTACAGTATATCTATTGCAATTTGCTAGCATGACATTGGATTGAGCTTCATCCAAGTGGCAGTAGATAGATCCAGAATAAGCCTTGCTGATTGGTACACTACTACTGCATGCATTTTTTTTCCTACTTGACCATCATGAGAGTAAATATTTTTGTTGCCATTGTGTGTTACGTATTCCCTCAATCCTGCTAAGGGGGTGTGTGATAAATGGCATTGCCATCATCCATTTTCAGCTGACTTCCTTTTTCTATATATTGTCTATCTTCCAGGACCTAACAACATTGAAAGTGTAGTTGTCGATGAAGAGAAGGGATCTATAGTGACTGCCAACCAAAATGATTCCATAACTAGGCTCAAGCGAGCAGCAGCCACTGCTGTTTCAGCAGCTGCTGTGAAAGCTAAGTTTCTCGGTGATCAGGAGGAATATCAAATTCGAAGGCTGACAGCACTTATGATTGAAAAGCTGGTAATATGAAAATCCAATGATGGAACTGTACCTGCTCCCTGTTGTGTGTTCTGTAGTACTAGTATCTATGATTCTTATTTGTGATTCTTGTTTTTGTGCAGTTCCAAAAAATAGAAGTGAAGATGTCGTTGTTTTCAGAGATTGAGCAGGTGGTCCTTCGAACAAGAGAGTATACCGAGAAGACCAGAAAGAAGCTCCTAATGGAACGAAATGCCATTATTGCAGCTCGGATGGGTGCATTGCCGTCTAGGCCAAACCAGCCTGGTGTAGCCGGAAACAGGTTACCACCTGGATATGGCAACCCTCCTGTAAGGCCTCCAAACGCAATGCCGCGGCCTACCAGCTGAGGAATCCGGATTCAGGACACTCAGTGATCTATACTCCATTCTTTTAGAAGCATACCTCAAAGACTCAAACCTGCCAGATTGTTGTAGCATTTTTTAGAAAGTACATTGTATAATTGTCTGTATGACTGCTTGTGTGAAAGTTCACCATTTTTACTTAATTTTCGATGTACTTGCTTCTACCAAACCTCCACAACTGTTTTCAACCTTCAATCAGATAGGAAAATTCTAATTTTTTTACAATAAACAGTCCACTCGACCATTAACAAGATTGTTTCTGCTCAATTTACTCCAAGCTATTTCAGTCGATCCGATCTACCCCCGTGTATAAGTTGAGTTTTAAATTCACCTTTTGTGGGATGGCAAAAAAGGATATCCTTTGTTATAAAAAATGCTTCATGAATTTTTAATCATTATTATTATGTTTGTATTTCTAGGAATATTAGATGCTCCATGCCTATAGAAATAATTGTGAATTTTTAATGTATATTTAACATATTTATGTTGTCCTTTGTAACGTACTATGTATTTGGAGTAATGTTACTAACGCAAAATTACAAAAAAGAGGTAAACTATAGTAATTTGTTTGAAGTTTAGAATTTGAAAGTCAACTTAAGGTCAAACCTTTCAACTCACCCTCATTCTATTTTAGTAAAGTAAAACTTTGAGCATCAAAATGTTAACATGTTTGGATGTATGATGTATCATTTGGATCTTATTGGTTATTATTTGGGGCTTTTTAGCGAAGTTTGAATTTTGAGTCAACAATTTGTATAAGGCTTAAGAAGTACTTTTTGACTTTTGAAGACCTTAGCAAAACTTCTAAAGAGCTAAAGCAAGTAGTTTGTGAGGTTACGACATGTTTGAATCCGTTCTGAATCTGGCAATTCCTCATTATTCTTAGGTTTCCCTTATGTCTGACTAATTGGCTAATTTCCATTAGAGATTTGAGACTCTTGTCTGTTTTCATTATATTCTAATATGCTTATCCCCAATACTTCTCCTTATCCCCTAAAGCTATATCATATTGGGGTCATTGTTTCATTGCTCCAACGTCTTCCAATATCTTTTTTTTTGTGGCCACCAATATTTCTCCCTTCCTCCCTTTAAATAAAGGGCACTTTATCTCTCCCAATAGCATGTGGCCCATCCCAACCATCATTTTTCCGCTATCTTTTTCACCTGTAGGCTCCATCGAGATATATTGGGATATTGTTGTAGCAATTTTACTAAGGGTCTGTCTAGACATCTGATGACAGATTTGTGCTGTCAAAATCTGTCAATTTTTTGACCAATCAGGTCATTACAAAATCTGACAGATATACGTATCAACAAATCTGTCAAATCCCACAACACTAGCCAAAGATCAGACGGGTATGGGGTATGCAGAACAAAAATCCAATAACGCAGCCACTCCGCTAGCAATTGCTCCAGTACTGGACGAGCTACTTCGTGCACAAAATAAGATGTCAGGGCTGCACCCGTCGCTGTGGTCGCCGCCCAGGTTCCATGTGGTCTTCGCCTGCTGCTACTGCCCCAGGAAGTTCTGCAGCTCGTAGGCGCTTGCGCGGCCACCAGAACACGCACAAGTTGCAGCGCAACCTGGCAAGGCGAGGCCAGGAGGCCGCCTCGTCGCCACCGCGCGCCTCCGGCGGCAGCCGAAACAACAAATAGCAAGGCTGCGCCAGCAACCACTCCACCAGCAATTGCTCCAGTACTGGAAGAGCTACTTCCTGCACAAAATAAGATGTCAGAGCAGCAAAATCACATGTTCTGTACCCTTAACTACTGTCGTACTAATGCAGGATAGGGACAAAAGAAAAAGGTCCTGTTCGGCTAGCTGGAAAAACGGTTGATGTTGATGCTGATGCTGATTTGTTGTGAGAGAAAAACACTGTTATTTCGCTGAAACGGTACGGCTGATAAGTTCAAGCGAACAGGGCCTCACACGCACAGAGACACCCACCCACAAACACAACGAATTCAAAAGCAACAAGTAGTGACACTGCATCAAGATACTGTACAGTTTTACTCACTGCATACTAACTCTATCATTGGGCAAATTGCCCGGTAATACCAGAGAAGTGTAGTAAACAGAAATTAACATCTGATGTCAGTGGATTATGGTCCCAGGCCCCGTATGTTATTTTCACACTGAACGTTATCCCTTTAGCTACAGAATACAAGATAGGCATGTAATAATCACCTTAAGCTGATCTTTCGAAGTCAATGAAAATACTTTGGAAGGAAGTGACAGTATCAACGGAACGAAGATCCTGCAAAAAATGCAGAAAATATATAAGCAAAAAAAAATTACAGCAGCACCAAAAAATGACATGCTAATTACCAATATCAAATAGAAGCAGAACAAATATGCATATTCCTCAAGAATAATAAAGAAGACTTGCCTATTGTTCTCCAAGAATGACAAAGACTCAATCTGATTAAAGCAATCCTTTGCGCTACCTGGGAGCCCAATACCAAGGAAGAATTTTGCCAGGCCAAGTATTTTCTCAACAGGGATCTGTACATTTGAGTATAGTTACATAATAAGACAGGTGCTTACACATAAATTTAGTGAACAAGTAACAAGTGACAGGGGTGAAAAAAATACTCACATTCAATTTTCCTGAAACAATGGCTGCAAAAAAGAGGTGACACCCCGTACCACTGAAGCAGAAGTCGTTATAGGACCCTTGTATTCAGTATTGTCAACATGTTTTTCATCAAAGTAGAAGGTCCCATCATCTGAGTACAGATAGCGTAAGAAACTAGTACACCAAGTAACCAGACAACATTCAGGAACATGACTTCACTAGTCCACCACCCCACCCCCACCCTACCCAAAAAGAAAAAGAAGACAAAAAAAAGTCTTCTGCGATAAGTATTCATCATCAATAAGGAAAGCTAGAAATTTACTGTAGCTCTTGATGGTGTCAAACAGCTTCACGATGTCATTTTAAATCACTCCCATCTGATGGAATATATCAAGACTATCAATCAGCAAAACTTACACACTGATGGATAGTGGCAGAAAACAATGCAAAGCATAAACATGGTAGCAGAGAAAAACTCCAATTTGAATCTTGACTGGGAGAAGCTGGAACATATCGTACATCTGCATTTCACCAGGCATAAATCAATCAGACAAAGACACAAAAAAAATAATAAACACATGCACCCACACACACAGACGGCACACACCCACAGAAACACACAGAAATTACCTCAAAAAAATTGAAGCTAGCAAATACATCAAAACTAGCAAACAACTCTGACATTAACAGCTAAAAAAACTAAAGCTCAACTACACCTTCTAATGCTCCCTCACAAATCAAATAATCGACAAATCTAAAACTGAACAAGTCAACTCTAAACATCACACAAATAAATAAGAACCATCAAGGGAGATTCCAGAAAAAAAAATACACAACATCAATTTGCTTTGGGGCCCTCAAAAGGCAAAAAAAGCACCAGCAGCAGCAGCAGGCAGCAGCAAATGCAACAACAGTAGCGGCTCAATTAGCAGGCTCTGGGGCACTCAAAACAAAAGAAAAACATAAGCACAATCAGCTTAATCAGCAGCAGGAGCAAGGAACATGCAACACCCACACAAACACACATACACACACACATACACAGAGACACACACCCCACAAAAACACAGAAAAGGAAAAAAACAACTCAACTAAATACACAAAAAAAGCAATGTTCAAAGCTGCTGCAGCAGCAGCTCCAAAAGCAGACACACAGACACACACACAGCCAAACACACACACACACAGAGAAAGATAGAGACACACACAAAAAAAGGCCCCCCCACACACACAACCAAAAAACCACACACACTAGAAGCGCCAGAAAACACAATCAACCACAGATACACACACAGAAGCTCGAGCAGCAGCAGCTCGAGCAGCAGCAGCTCTAGCAGCTTAATCAGCAGCAGCAGCAAATGCAACAACACCAAAAGCAGTTCAATCAACAGAAGCAACTAAAATACAACCCAGGATAAATAGCCAACATCAATTGGCTTTGGGTCCCTCAAAAGACAAAGGACAAATACACACACCTGCATAGACTAAAAAAGTGAAGCCTAAAAAAAGGCACAAAAAAGAAAGCCAAAACAAATTATCAACTCAAAACAAACTAGAAAATCAGATATGAACATCACAGTGATCATAGGTACAAAAACTCAACTCAAATACAACTAAATTGACCAATACAACTCTGGACAATAAAGCTAAAAAAACTCAACTCAAATACACCTATTGCTCCCTCACACATCAAATTGTCACCACATTACAGCTAAAAAAACAATCAATCAACTCAACTAATTTGACCATTAAAACTCTGAAGATTACAGCTACAAAAAAATCAAATAAAAATTTACAAGACTACCAAAGTCACAGAGCTTGATCTGGTGGGTGAGAGGATCATCCTTTATATATATCAGAGATATGAACCAATATGAACCAATTCAGAACTAGTTACCAAATCAAAGAAAGAATATAGCTTGTTCACAAATCACATGACATGGACCAAAAAATTTTGTAGCTTTACGTCCCTATGGCAGACTCTTGGTATATTATGAATATAAGCTAGACATATAACACATGTTGTTGCTGCAGACACATGTACACACACTTGTAGCTGCAGACATTATAACAAAGCATTTCAACCTCACAATCAATTGCCAGATGACAAGACTATAATATGATTGGCCCCGTGAACCATACGCGCTGGCAGTTGCGGACAAAACCAGCAGCTAATTGCACATGCACCAAGCGCGAAGCTGCAAGCTCAAAATGAATAAAAAAATCACCATGCGCAAGGTGGCTACAAAACTATCGTACCAGGAAATAAAAAATGCTTCAAAATGCACACAGTTTCAACTCAAGACACACTAGAATGTGGCCCTGTCCACCTGGTGGTAGCAAACTGAGCTATTCGGACAATTGCTAATAGTTCTAGTATACAGTTGCAACCCCACAGGCAACTCAATATATTATATGTCAAATTCACTCCAAAAAACACAGATTCGTCCAACAAAATGAATCTATATTTGATTGAACTTGGTCCAAGATCAACAAGTGAGACTAGGAGAATCACATGCCAATTCTTCCAAATGCACAATGGTGGACAAACAAATCAAGCCTTTGAACTCCACCAAGCACTTAAATCCAAGTTATGATTCTAAGAAGAGCTAAAAAACCACAATCTGGATACAGACACAACTAGATATAACACAAGTGGATCTAACGAACCATATATAAATGAAACGACATGCAAAACGTCAGCTCTTACAAGAGTCAAGAAAATCTAAAATAGCAGTATTGTACATTATACACTATCTACAAAAACAAGTATATACCTTCATCCCAACCATTTGCACCCAGTTGACAGAAGTTCTAGTTGCCTTGGACATGAACTCTGGCAAGGTCTCCTCAGGCACCATCAATAGCAAATAGACTGCACAAAAGGAAAATGGCATCAGAGAAAGCATAGCGTTGGGAAACTAATGAAAAAGGACAACACAATCTGCAAAGACAAACATCAGTCCTAAATCCAAAGCTATCAATAAGCTGGAAGCAAGACAAACAACACACGCATATATATCTTTGTTGTCAGTCGTTCTTTCTTTGTCACATGAGACAGCAAAAATCCGCAAATTGAACAGGCGTCCTGACCTACAATACCAAAATCAAACCCACAAATTGACAAAACCAAACCTTAATAAACCACAAATAGGAAGGCACAAACTAAGCGAACCACAAATCAACCCTATAAAAACCTATTCTAATCATACAAAAAAATAACAGTCTTAATAAAGGAGAACAACAGTAACTTAACAGATGAATTCGGCTTTAGTTACAAGCACAAACATGTTGCCATTTTTTTGGTATGGAACGGACGTTTTTGTCATTTCATCGAGCACCTTGAGGACACAGAACGACAAGGGCATAGCCCACAGGAGATGGGAACCTTACCATGCTCAGAGAGGAAGGAGAACGCGAGGAAGACACGAGCACGGCGCTGGCGGAGGAGAAGAGGAAAAAAGACCGGCGAAAACGACGACAGCGGAGGTGGTGGCCCCAACGCCCCAACCCCGTGGTCGGCCGCCCCGGTGCCCCCGTCCCTGCACCGCACTGCCCACCCTCGCCGGCGCATCCGGCTCTGCCCCACCATCGCCCACCCTCACCCCGCGCCCGCAATCGACCACCCGCACTCCTGCGTCACCATAACGACACCAAAAGTAGCCGACGCTGACAACAATACGAAGAACAACAACACTTACAAATTTTGACTGCGCCTCGCGTGAGTCCTCTGCGGCCACCGGCACGGGGGAAGCGCGCGACTACGCCGCACCCACCACCAGTCGCGGCTCTCAGGGGAAGCGGCGAGGTCTGCGCCCCATCGCGGTGACGAGATGCGGGACTGGTCGAGTGGATTGGGGAAAAACAGCCCGTGGATGAATCTCGGGTTTGCGGGTTTCAGATGCGCTGTTTCCAGGCCCGTTAGCTGCATGTACACCCAATAGACCACACGAATCTCAAAACAAAATCAACGGTCCAAAATTCAACAGATAAAAACAAAAGAAAACTGTCGACAGAAATATAGCACAAATCCTTTACTAATATTCACAAAAGTAATATTGGCTACCCCAATATTTCCATATTGGGGGATAGATTATTAGGAGACCGGTGGAGATACTCTAACAGCTTTTGAACCACAAAATTAGTTTTGACATTTACCAGGATCAGAGTGTATAGAGCCATAGAAAAATATTAAAAATCGGATATCAGAATTGGAGTTTGATATGACATGAAAAACTTGATTTTTAGGGCAATCTAATACACAACCACCAGCGAAAGCTTGCTCCACGAAGAGAACTAAATCGGTTCACCATTGAGAGCAAACTAGCACTATGGTGAGAAAACTGATGATCCTAGCTTGTGCTGGGCCTAGCCTCGGTAGTCAACCTGAGCATCGAATCAAACGTTCCCCATTAAGAACAAACTAGCACTATGGTGAGAGTAACTAATTAAAATTTTGAATCGTTGAGCTATAAACATATGCAATAGACTAACAAACAAGGAATTGTCTCTTTTGTATCATATATGGGAACCATACAATGATGTGCGGCTGCTCAAGTTCCAGCTTGTTTTAGTTTATTCTCTCTCACAGAACACTATTGAATCATCCGAAATAATCCAAAATCTACTGCGCAACGGATCAGCCGAACACGCCGAATAACGGTAAACATTGCTCTAATATTGACAGGGGAAATCCACAGAGAATGAAAAGAATTACACAGTTTCTCATTACTTCAGTAACAACGACTTTAGTTATTGATCAGTGGTTGCTACTTTACCTGGCTAGGTTAACCTAAACAGAGCTGGTGTACCTTTGCTTGAATTTGTCTTAGAGCCCGACATGAGAACATGAATAGAGGCTGCCGTATGGTGTTGAGCTACAAAGGATTGTTAGGTAGCTAGGAGCGAGTAAAAACATGCAAGAAGGTTCCCTTCATTGGGTTTTGAATGTTTCTGTTCAATAAGTTGGTCAATCAGAATTTGCTACAAATGTGATGCCCATGTCTTTATGACTTCCCCAACTGATTCGTATGATATGTTTTTGTGTTTGTAACTTTTGTCCCAGTGTTTTGATTTGATGATTCAATCTGTGTAGGGAAAAAAATCACATTCGTATGAGTACTTGATAGCATATTCAATATGTTTCTTGTACAAATAATGCCATGAATTCAATCTGTGTAGGGGGAAAAATCAAATGAGTATTTTTTCCCTACAAAACTTTTGTTCCCAGTGTTTCTTGTACAAATAATGCCATGAATTCAATCTGTGTAGAGAAAAAATCACATTGTATGAGTATTTGATAGCATAAATAATTTTGCAGTTGTTTGGGCGGCTACTTGGTGAAGTCCATGTAGCTAAATTGCTAGTTATACACAGGAATATGCATAATTACGGTTCATTGGTTTCACCTGCTCAATTATTCATGCCACATTTTTAAAGGGAAAATTTTATCCACCATTATTTGTAGACATGATATTACACTAGGAAACCAAGAGTACAAACTCATTTTTTCTGCGATAAGCAGGACAATTGAATATGATATCTTCTTGTTGAATCTGCTCCATAAAGATTAAAGGTGGTCAGGCTGATCAGATTGTACAAGGAACCCGCCTATGGATGAACCTTCTCAGGTTGCTGATTCGCTGTCCTCAATTTGAGGCCAGTTTCACTGGAAGTGTCATCTAAGTTTCATTCGTATTTCATAAGCTGTCACGTAGATATTTTTTATGACGTGGCACCGTATCTAAGAAGAGAGAAATAATGAGTTTTATAAGGATGAAATTCTCATGGCGCAGATACCGACTCGCAATGAGTCATGAAATTAAATATTTATGAAACTATATAATGAAATTATGCATTGAGAGTAATTTTTCATTGAAGTTTCATTGTATTTTTTTTGACGTGGCATTTGCTATGAAACTTCCAGTGAGGCCAGTCTCAGTGGATAGTTTCATGATGTTGTTTTCAAGATAATGAAACTTGGATGAAACATCAAGGCCTTGTTTAGATTGTAAATTTTTACAATCTGGACACTGTAGCACGTTTCGTTTGTATTTAATAAATTTTGTCCGATCATGGACTAACTAGGCTCAAAAGATTTTTGATTTAAGACAATGAAACTTGGATGGAACATCAACTCTCAATGAGAGAGTGAAAAAACTTGGAATTTTGAGGCAATCTAAACAAGGCCCAACTCTCAATGCAAAGTTTTATTCTATAGTTTCATAGGCATTTAATTCCATGAGTCATAGATGGTTGGTAATCGTGCCAAGAGAGTTTCATCTCATTTATTCTCTTTCTTCTTAAATACACTGCCATGTCATAAAAAATGCCTACTCCATCCGTACTAAAAAAATAAAGTCGTTTTGGACAAGGCTTGAGTCAAACATTGGAATATAAATCATGAATAACTTTTAAGTTGTTGTGTTTGGAAATGTGAAAACCATATAAATAGATTTGTCTTGAAAATACTTTCATAAAAATATACATATATCATTTTTTGATAAATATTTTTATAAAAAATAAATCAAAGTAATATTTTGGAGACCGCGTCGCTGTCAGAACGACTTTATTTTTAGTACGAAGAAACTATGTGTCAACCTATTTAATGTAAATGGAACTCATATAAAACTTTCATTGAGACCGACATTAGTCTTTTTTTTTCGGCCTTTTACCGACGGCACTAATTGTTTTTTTTCTGGTGCCAAAGATCTTTAGATAGACACGTTTTACAATGCTCTCGCGGCTGCAAACGACGAGGTGAACCAGCTTCTGAACTCTGGGTTCTGCAGCCTGTTCATTTGGCTGTGGCTTGTCGTAAACGATCGTAAATTTTCAACCGAAATAGTATTTTTCTCTCACACAAACTAGCCAGCAATATTTTTTCACAAACCAGCAACAATACGAACCAGCCAACCAAACGTGCTGCTGGCCGGCCGGGCTCAGGGCTCCCAACGGTCAAAATGTCCATTTATTACTTCGATGCGCCATTCAAAAAACCAAAAGGGTAGCCAATTTGAACGCAGGCCGGCTGAGCCATGCCTTGCAGGCTTGCAGCATCCACCTGTGCTGCTGTGCAAACCGCGTAGACCTGTTCCGGTGCGGTTTGGCCGGAGACGTCCAGAAAGACCCACATGTCAGTGACACACTGTCTACTGGACCCAGCCTATCTCTCGAATATGCCATACCATCCCCTCTGCAGGGATCGAGGCAGGCAGGCAGGCGCCCGTGCTCCCCATTCACGAGCCACCATCCCCAAACACGCGGTGGTTATTGTGCCCTCTAACTGACGCGTGGGGTCACACCTGTGGACCCGGAGCGACAGTGGCCAAATAAATGTGCAACGGCTGTACACGTATCTCTGCAACTGCAAGTGAAAAGTATCGCATTTTGAAACTGTGATGGACCCACGGACGAATTGACGGATGTACCCCAGCACACCGGCACCCCTAGTACCCGAGGAAGAGTATACCTGAGTACTGGTAAGAGTAAGTGGCAGAAGCGCAAATATATGAACAATCCGAGGGCCATTCTGCCTACAGCTTCTCGAACTTTCCCGCCTGAAACCCTCTCGCCTCCCTTGCCGTCTCCTAAAATATAGGGCCACAGTCCAGTACCCAGTAGTCTCTGCTCTCGGCCTGTAACTGTTCTGCGTTCCCCTTCTATTTCTTGTTCCCACTGATTTTTTTTATACTGATTAAATTGTCTTCGCTCGAGGGAAAAATCAAGTGGCAAAGGTACTGTATTTGTTTTCCTCTTCGAGTTGCTCTTGATGGAATGTTAATCCGATAGCTGCCGGGAAGGATTTCGTGGCGTTTTTTTTCCCTTCTTCTCTTGTTTTGGTACGAATTTCTGCGGTACGGCAATACTTTTATCTGAATGCTCCATCGGAAAGTGCGATTTCCGCATGTTTTATCGCAGTCTCCTAATCTGTGTTGCTAGTTTGGCACTACTTCTGGTTTAGGGTTCTAGTTTCTTTGTGTGAGGCAGTACCAGTACTGATCTGATGAAGTCGGGATGAAATGGGTTTTAGGGTTTTAGATCGATTGCTGATTTGGGATTCTTTGTTGAAACATTTTGGCAGGGCTTGATCTGGTGGGCGACCCATGGTGGAAGGGATGGTAGTCGCCGTGCCGAATGGGGTGAAGGCGGATGGCGCCCTCGCCGCCGCCGCCGCCAAGGCTGATTCTCCTAAATCCGTTCTGGAGGACGAGGTGATTATCTGGCCTAGCAGATTTGTCTGTTCTGTGTGCCGAAGTTTTCCTAAGTTTTTTTTTTACCTTTTGGGCTGTTTATAGTACTGACTGGTGTTTTTTTTTGGGTTGCAAAATCAGAAAATTTCTGAGTCCAAGAATGGGAACGCCTCCTTTGCCACAGAGACAGTTAAGCAGGAGAAAGATGATGAGAGCTCTGACGATTTTGTGGATGCAAGTGCGTCCCTGCCTGTTGACCATGAAATCGACAGTGCTAGTGTGCCCCCTGTTGTTAAGGCAGTCAAGGACGAAGAGCAGCTTCTGGAGCCCGTCAAGCAGGATAAAGTTGATGATTTCCTGGATGCAAGTTTATCTATACCTATTGACCTTGAGGCCAAGA